ATACTGATCTGGCTGTTGTTGTAAAGATGTTTACTTCCTTTGTTTCTCTCGCCGAGATGAAAGAGTTCTTCTTGGGGACAGAGAGGCTGGGAAGTGATTTCACATCAACAAACTAAACTAAAATGTCTCAAAGACTGAAGAAAACTGCAACTGCTCTTGCTCTTTCTATTCTGCAGAAATACCAGCAGCATTAGCTTGTTAACTCCTCCAGTGAGCCGTTGGAGGATTTGCGGCTTATTTCCGGTTAACTATTTTTTGGTGAGAGATCATACTGAGCTTCAGAACAGCTTCAGTCCATCTTGTCTCTGGAAATTTAATGGGGAGAAGATGTTCTTTTATCTAGTGGTGGAGAGTTTAGTCTAACAGTCCAGTCCAAAATCTCCCGTATGTTCAATTTGCTTTATTTAAAATATGCTGCCAGTTTGCAACAACATTTGTCTCAAGGCACTTTATTTCACATTTTAAAGACTCCACTTTATTAGAGAGAAAATTCTAGTTAAAGTGACCTCCAGACACGGGGAAGTGCAGCCGCTGGGGAGGGTGTAAACAGTTGTACATGAGTGGAAAGAGAAGACAGGACCATGAACAAAGAAGATAAAACAAACTGCAGTAGAGAAGACAAAAGTTAATTAGAAGCACGGTGTAATGTAAATGAATGGGTGCATGGAAAGAAATGAATTTCTCCAGGAGCTTGAGCCTAAATCTGCATAACTACAGAGTGGTTTAGGTTTAGTCTCTGTGTCCAGCTTCAGCTATAAATATAAGATTTATCAAAAAGGGGAGTTGGAAGACTGAATGTAGACCTGGGGGACTGACATCCTTTAAACTTCTAGAAGGTTCATGATGAGACTGTATCAGCTGAAGTGTGAAGAAAGGTGTTTAGGTTACTCATAAAGCAGGGGGCATCTGGATTTGAACCAGAGACTTCTTGATCTGCAGTCAAATGCTCTACCCCTGAGCTACACCCCCGCTCTAATCGACCAAGCAAGTACATCCATTCACTGTAAGGCACTAGTTTGGCATCATGACCGCTAAGGTCGTGTCCTGTCCTGCCTTTCACCTTATCTACCAATCCCCACACCAATGGGATTTCAGAAACATATTTAAGATACAATTTCTGTCAACATACCCTTTAGTCACACACATCATGAAGAGTCTGCTGTGTGGTTATGGCCAGCGATGATGTCTCTATAGTTATAACCAGAGATTTATAAGACCTCCATTCCAAGCCTGACTTTAATAGGAGGTCAGGTATAATCTCACCAGAGCCCTCATGACATGTCAAAATGATATAGATACTTTTGGTTGTGTTGGAGGTCAGAATTTAACCTGCTATATATGTTTATATTTTTTTTAATCTTCTCCTTTGTCACTGCAGACGGGGAGCTGGTTATAAATAGTTGAAGAGTGCAGACAGCAGCAGAATTAAAGCAGCAGAAAAGAAAGCTTGTTCAAAGGCAAAACCGATTCTGATCCCTGTTTTTGGCAGAGGACAAAAGGACTGAGTGGAGATCAGGTTACTGCCATGTGACCCTGAGGAATCTCAATGCTGCACTCCTGCTGATTAAACATTACACTGAAAAACAAGCTGTAGACATACAATAGTTAGTTATTGTACAGAAAAAAGAGGGGGGAAAGCAGCTCCCAGGTAGATCAGCAAGCTACTGTGGATGAAATAAAAGCAAACTGGGGGAAAAATGAAGCACTAAGTAAATGGTCACTGAAAAAAAAAGTTTGCCAACTTCCTGTAAGATAGTGACAGGACTTTAGATACAAAGGTAGAGGAGATTATCCTGTTACCTGAAAAAAACAACAACAAAGTAAGTACATATTACTGTATGGAAGACCAAGACTGCCCAAATAAATGAATAAAACTAGAAAATAAAGAAATAAATAATATGAACAAAATCACTGAAGAAAATAAAACTGACCTTCATCACTCATTCAAGTGACTTGTTCAGTCCGTTGGATCGAAGAAGTCACCCACCGAAAATGAAACGTCCAGATGAAGAGAAACAACTTTCTGGGATTTTCTTCCCTGGATTATTAAGCATGCATCAAGACATTTTAAATCTTTTTTTTTTTTAATTATTTTGTTTTTTTTTTATCTAAAAATTTCTTTCTCTGTTTTTTTATTTTTATTTTTATTTCATTTTTGGCTTGTTTTGTCCTCCATACCACCAGGGTCAAGGTAAACAGGATTTGTTGTTTGAAATTATGTTAAATTTAAATGTTTAAATTTTAAATTAGAGGGAAAAAAAAGACAATAAAAGGTTCACATGAGACAATATTTAAATAATTAAAGGAGATTGTTAGTAGTAATAATATGTTCCTGACTAATAAAGTCACTAAAAAAAGTTAATTAGCAAGTCGATATTTGAACAGTTTTCCCAAAATATTCAGTTTCTGTGTAAAACGGATAGTGTTAAAGGGAATCTCTTAAACTTCTGCCAGGATTTCAGCAAAATCGTAAATATATAAAAGCCCCATGGAACCTCAAAAATTGAATAATGGATTTTGAGGTTTTGAAAACAAGATGAGAAATACCTCAGTGTCTGTGGTCTCCTCCCTTGTTAACATCAGTTGAATTATTCTTTTCTGATTAAGGACACGTTTTTATGTTGCTGTTAACAATATGTGTTTACAAGTCTCAGAAAATCATGTCCATAAGGTAAAAATACAGTTGCTTAACTTTAATTATCAGTTATTTTTATTAAAGCATGAAACTGAAAGCAATATTTACTAATTTGTAAAACATTATTTGGATGGTTCTTGGAAAGTTGTAAATACTGTGTAATGTTTTAAACAGTGTCCATTATAAAGTTGTTACTGACATAGGTGGTGTGATGTGGTGGTGGCCAAATCACAAGACTGTGAACCTGGACGCAAAGTTGTGACCAAAACTACTCGGTCAGGTTTGGGTTGATTTATGACAAAGTAGGAGAGACACTGGTCTCAGTATTGTGGTCACACATACTGAGCAACACTAAAGGAAACCTTCTGCTTGAATGTGAGACACCAGAGGCTTTGACTAAATGTCAGTAACTGACACCCTGGAATTATGCTCAGTAATAAAACCTTTATTATTAAAGTCTTATAACCCATCATTTACGGGTGGAGCTGTGCTAAGGTACCTGTACACCCTAGACAGGAGACAAGTTGGTAGTTCACTTCACGAATAAATACCACACAAAACTAATATATAATTATAATTGAGTTTTTTATTTTTTATTTTAATTACACAAATTAATGACACTTACATGAATTGCTCAATTAGTAATGATTTGCAAACACTTGCCCTGCAGGGCAAGCTCGGATCCTGGGAGGCCTGGGAGCTTGAGGATCCTGCGCAGTATCTTAGCTGTTCCTAGGACTGCGCTCTTTTGGACAGAGATCTTAGATGTTGTTCCCGGGATCTCCTGGAACCCCTCGCCTAGCTTGGGAGTTACCGCACCTAGTGCTCCGATTACCACGGGGACCACCGTTATCTTCACCTCACATCTTCTCGAGCTCTTCTCTGAGCCCTTGGTACTTCTTCAGCTTCTTCCTGATGTTTCTGTCATTTGGTATCGCTACATCAATCACTGTGGCTGTCTTCCTCTTTGTCTAACACCACTATGTCTGGTTGGTTAGCCATCAACAGTTTGTCCGTCGGTCAAACTGTCCCACGGGATCTTAGCTCGGTCATTCTCCACCACCCTTGGGGGCGTCTCCCATTTTGACCTTGGGACTTTCAGGCCACACTCAGCACAGATGTTCCTGTACACTATGCCGGCCACTTGGTTATGGCGTTCCATGTATGCGCTCCCTGCTAGTATCTTGCACCCTGCTGTAATGTGCTGGATTGTCTCAGGGGCATCTTGCCTGATGTGGTAGACCCCAGCCTCCATGGATTTTTGTGCTCAGAGCTTGTTCCTGTGCTACCATGATTAGTGCCTCTGTGCTGTCTTTCAGTCCAGCTTTGTCCAGCCACTGGTTGGATTTCTCGATATCAACCACTCCTTCTATCTGCCACTGGTACATACCGTGCACAGGCCTGTTCTTTAATGATGGTTCCTCTCCTTGGTTCTCTTCTGTCTCAGGTTTCTGCTGCCTGAGGTGGTCCTAAGCACACTATCAGGCGTGGCCATCTTCATGATGTATTCATGGATCTTTATTGTTTCATCCTGGATACTGGTTATAACACTCACTAGTCCACAGCCTTCTCCCTTCCACTTAGTGTACAGTCTCAGGGTGCTGGATTTCAAGCTGACAGTGTCTCTCAGCTCTCATATTTGTTTTACAATTAAATCATTTAATGATATCTGAAGTCAAGCTGTTTAGAATTACAGCACATACTCAGACACATCAGACCCTAATCTGGGCCTCATTTGGGCTACTTATGGCACTTTTGGCGTTACCAGATGTGGACCACACGTCTTTACATCGGTTATAGGAAGGTTTTTTCATGTGGACCAAATGCTATAACACACCTGACATTTGGCCAATGTAACGCGGACCTAACAATGACAAACGTGGACTACAAATATCGCTGTCAGGAATTAGATTAAAGGAATAACGCTGAGAATTCAATATTTCCTTACTGGTAATTATCTTGAGAGTCCAAGAAATTCCCTTGGAGGATCCTGACCCCTGGTTTAAAAATCACTGCCTTTTAATTTCAATAATCTCAAGTCATTTAAAGGTAACACAGAGTTCAGCATCTATAAACCCGCAGGTTTTTTAGATTTAACGCACATAATAGGATAAGAGCATAATGAGGCTATTCATGGAAGATTATTCGAGACTGAGAAAACTTAGGGCATCAAAACAGAAACTATTTTAAGATCACTCCAAACACGAGTTCCCGTAAAAGAGTATTGGCGCCGGGGAATTATAATGACCCCAGAGGTGTAAAAGTGAGTTCAGACAGCCTACAGCTCCACTTTTCTTTAATGTATTTATTTTTATTCCCTGTAAACGTCAGATTTCCAGCTGAAAATGGGATTAAAAGGATGAATCCCTCAGCTGATCCTAGATCACCAAATTCCCCTCCAGAAAACTAATTCTCTCCCTCATGTTTTAATCCCCAGGGAGCAGAGTCCCCATCATGTGAGATTATATCTGCGAGCTGGGTGGTGGAAGCGGGGGTGGAGAGGTGGGACGTCCTCTTTGACAGAGGAGGAGAGGACGAACAAGAAGGAAAAGAAGGAGGAGAGGAGAGGGAGTGGGGTGGGCTCCGGGAGGACAAGTAGACCGGTCCACCGCAAGAAGTGACTTCAAACACGCGCGAGGCTCGCTGCAGGAGCGCTCAAACTCCGGCCGCCAGTCGTCGTCATGCGCCTCGGCTTTTAAAAGCGTCCCGGCTTCTGCTGCTGCAGCTGAAGAGGGAACAACTTGCTGTCGGTGACTCTTTTTTCTTAACAGAGTTTTGTGTCCAGCCGGTAGAGCTCTGAGCACGCGAACAGGAAGGAGGTGGATAACCCACTTCTCCAGGTTTCGGCATTGCGCCGCATTCCAGTCCGGCGCGCAGCGCTCAGGAGTCGGACCCGGTGCGCTCCGTCTCCCCGCTCCTTCTGAAGACTCCCGGATCTTTTCTGTTTGTGTTCAAAGCACCAATAATGCACAGAGAGACCCGCTTTCATTTAAGATAGATACACTCGAACACAAACACACACACATCCCGTTTTTTTCCTTCTGACTGGATTTGGATTAAATCCTCTTTTTTGTACGATCATGTGTGGATGGTGGATATTTGTTGGCGCTCTGGCTGGGATCCTCACCGTCCCCCGTGGGATTCACGGTTGGTATTTCTAGTCTCTTTTCACCAAGCCACTTGTCCTCCTGTCCTGCTTGTTACGTAGCCAGGTCAGGGGTTATTAGGGACCACCATGCACGCTCGTATGAGATCCACCGACTCTAAATCGGATCGGATTTAGTTCAACCTCAGCTACTTTGTCCAGCACCGAGTGAAGAATTGTTCCAGTACGCGCAGAGAAATCTTGTGGAGGTATGAAAGTTGCGGGCAGAGCGATCGATCACCTTTTCCATTAGGAACACTTTCAGCTTAAAATGAATGCAATTTAGGCTATAACTGCTCAGGACCCACAATCGCAGGTGGAGGACCGTGAGCCAGAGCAGGGTGTTGCTACCCAAGGATAAGAGTTCCCATCCCAACTTCAGGGTTGACAGATTTTCCCAGAAGAGAAAAGTCAGCTGGTGAATTTCAAATGAGCTCTTTCATATGACACAAACACTCGTTTGATAGGATTTCTGAATGAGCACACTCCACCAGGGTTGAGCTGTGCAGTCAATAATGCTCTCCGAGTGGACCTGAAAATGTCTGATTCAGGGAGAGCGGCTCGAATATTCACTAAAACGTGCTCTTTGATTATGTTTCAGTAACTAAAATCATTTGTTAGGCGAGTTAAAACTGAAAAGACAAAAAGAAAATCAGTTTTAACTGAGCTGCTGAAGTTATTTAACAGAATTTCAGACTTTAATTGTGGAGAAACAAATACTCTTAACTGAAACACAGACATACAGTAACCTCATATAACCTTAACAGTAATTAAAAAATCTCTGTCTTTAACCCAAACTTCAAAGTCAATTTGAGAAAGTGAAACTCAAAGAAAGGACCAGACTTAAATACACCCTTAAACTCCCGATTTTAGGCGGGCATAGTTAAGCAATACAATCTTCTGTTTGGATAATAGTTCTGCAGGTACCCAGAGTCACATTCAACAGACTGCAAATGAATCTGAATTAAAAAGCAACACATGAACTTGTTGTAGTTTTTCATATTCATATCTAAACACCTTTTCTTTTTAAACCCAGTCTTTCTCACGGCCTCTGTGTTGTATAAATATTCATAACTCTGCATCAGATCTAAAATAGCTGCCCATGCACGGCTACGATATTCCCATTAGAGGAGTTATAATGCACAGGACTGTCAAGAGCAGAATCTAAAGCAGGTCTGTGCAAGTGCTGCTGCTTAACTGACCCATTCATAGTTTCTCTGTACTCCTCCTGTCAGACCGAGGCATGGTTAATGTTGTAGCCTGGTCTCTGGCAGGTGAAAACCTCCTCTGCCTGCATGTAACAGCAGCAGCAGCAGCAGCACCATATGCCTACCAAAGTCATTAGCATCCTCTCTCTTATTCTTGGCATGCGTTCATTCTGCTTGGCAGGACTTGCTTCAGTCAGATTCAAACTTTTATGAAGCAAGGTACCCCTTCGCTTCTTTCCGCGCTTAAAAGAGAGCATGCTGGCATCGGCGAGCAGAGCAAAACGGTTATAAATGTTCAAATGTGATCAACAGTGAGTGCTGCAGGATGGACTGAAAGCCGAGCTGAGAACGGCGTTTTCTGGACAAATGTTTGGAGTCATGATGAGATTAGTGCTTTTCAATTAAGATTCCTTTGTAGAGCTTTGAGTGTGGCTCTGAGCATCTGCAGAATTATTATCTGCTACCGAATCAGATTAGAGTCGCACTCATCCAGGCAGTTATTGTTGAATATGCAAGAATTCCAGCTCAGGGTCTATGTAAATTAAACACTTTGAAGTTTGACTGCACTTTCATCTGATAAAACATTGATTTGGTTGTTTGCAGGCTTAAGTTTGGGTTAATCACAGGAGTTAAATGATTAGAACAACAGTACAAATGATTATATTTCAACACAAAGCATTTCTGGGTTATTGTAGCGAAAAGATGCGCTGATCATTTCATTTTGTGGCACATTTCTTTCAGAGGTGATGATGAGCTGTGTCAACATGTGATATCAAAGGAAAATATGAAGCTGTGGTGAAACGTGTGCAAATCTAGTCCTTGTTTTTTGTTAGTAATCTTATTTTCAGCCTGTACTGTCAAAGTCTACACGTATTTAGGCCGTGATTGTCCTGAGCTGATCAGACATTTAAGGCTTCACTGCCAGCAAACACCGTTTAATACCTTGAGATCCTGTTCACAAAGAATCATCTTGTGAAAATGGACAATGAAATCTAAATTTGAACAACATTTCCTATTTCAGATTTCCATAATCCTCCATTATCTTCCATCGAACAAAGTTCTTTCCTCCCTCAAATTTGAGGGAGGAATGAAAGTCCAAACAAGGATAGAGGCAGTGTTGCTGTTTCAAGTGGTTTTAGAACCCGATGATGATGAAGACAATAAATGTTTGGGGTTTTGTTGGTCTCAGCAGACACATTTGTGCTTAATCCAGACTTCCTGTTGCTCTCACACCTCGGTTATGACACTGGCAAGTCTCTTGTGTGGGTCAGATGTGGGCCAAGTTTAGGAGCTGCCCTCGTTTCATTACCTGATATGTGGCCTATAAAAGCTGAACCTGACTCTGAGGTGCATCAGTGAGACTAACCAGATGTTATTTATTGCTAGGAGGTTAATGTTTTAGAAAGTTTTGCTTAAATTCCTGAAATAAGGTCTGTGATTAACACAGATTATAGACAGATTTTTTACCATCATTTAGCCGTCATGCGGCATCTTTTCTTGGCGTTACTGAGTTCAAAAAGGCTAATAAAGGTTGCACTTATTTATGAGACTATCATGCTGAAATGTGCAAGTATCATAAATCAATACTTTCCTTTCTAGATGGCTTTCCCTCAGCCTCCATCACTACAGTGATTGGAGTCATTTTTTGTCCAGGATGTATCCTTTAACTTGCACTTTCAACAATCCATCTACAGAAATGAGAAACATCCTGTGTCAGAGAGAAGCTGAAATGCTGCTTCGTGGATATGTTATTTCTAGGATGGACTTTTGTAGTTCTTTATTAACAGCTCAGTGAAAAAAGCCTTCAGCTGATCAAAAATGCTGCAGTAAGAGTTCAGAGACCATATATGAAGATCATATTTCTCTCATATTAGCTTCTATTTATTGGCTCCCTATTAAACCCAGAATTAACAGAAGGTGTTACAGTGTTTTGTTTTATGCACCTCAGTAGTGAGGGAGACACAACTGCTGTGCTGTGGCAGTAGAATGGGAGGCAGAGCCTTCAGCTGTCAGGCTCCGATTTCATGGAGCTCCCAGTTTGGATTCGGCAGACAGACACCGTCTCTACTTTTAAGATTCAATTTCAAGCTTTCGTTTCAGATAAAAACGACGATGTGACATTGAACCACCCCTTAGTTATGCTGCTGTAGGCTCAGACTGTTGGGGGACTTCCCATGATGCACTGAGCACTTCTCTCTGATGCGTTTATATCCAACTGTTGCATGTCACCAACTTTTGCCCGCTCTTTCCCATATTTTCATCTTTTCTGTCTTCCCTTTGCCCTCATCCCTCAATATGTCTCCTTCTTAAGTCTCATTCAGCTGGGGAGCGCTTCCTGTTAAAAGGGAGTTCTTCCTTACCACCATTGCCAAATATCCTCATAGAAGATAAGCTGATCCAGGGGTGGGCAATTAATTTTCCCAAAGGGCCACATGAGAAAGTTTAACTGTTGTAGGGGACCAGACCAGTAAGCTCTCTTTATAACTGGTAAGATATGATTTTAAATTATCTAATGGGAATATGAAACAGGTAAAGCACCAACGATTTATCACTACTTAAACAACTTTCACAAAAATAGTTGTGAACAAAATGTGCACATTTTGACAAAATTTCAAAGACTTTTAACTTTATAAAAAGTGCTGCTTGTAGTTTGATTGCACCTGCAGTTTTTCAGCTCGTCTTTTACGTCTCTGACCCCAGCGAGAGAAATCTAGTCTGTTTTAGGCTTGAATGTGCATTAAAGTCGGTTCAACGTTTGAGCTGATAACAGACAGATGATCGTCACTGAGAGAGGATCTCTATCTGGATTTGTTAAACTGCATCACTGAGAATGTTTGTTCACATATAAAGGGAGATCCTTGTCTCCTTGTCTGTGGAATGTTTTCCTCTTTGAAAGAGGAAGAAAAAAATCCAGTGGTGATGCTGACTTGAAGCGCTCTGTCAGTGGCGAATTAAGCTGTCTGTGATGGTTCATTCTTAGCACTGACTCACACTACACCTGATGTATAACACAATGCAAAAAATCAGTTCAGATTTCATTTCACTCACTTTTTATTTTGCCTTCAAAAGCCAGAAATGTTTTCCCCGCCAGATTTGGACAGCCTTCGTTTGTAACATCTGTCAGTTTGTCCCATTTCAGCCTCTGTTGTAGTTTCATTCATTCATCGCATTGCTGCCAGCTGCTCCATAATCTCAAACTCTTTCTGTAGTCCAGGAGTAAAGATGAGAAACCGAGGAGAAAAAGTTAAACTCGTCTGCTTTGTTTTCAACCGAATGTCCTTGATCAGTCTTGTTAGGGTTCACCAGGAACGGGGCACATTTTCGACTGCCTCCTTTTTTCTCATTTGGCTTGAACAAGTGCATTAATTAACAGCAGTACACAAAGGACTCTTTGATGAGCTCGCCATCGGAGAACGACTTTTTTTTTGTAATTCTGTGTTTAATCACAAAGCTAGTCTCGACTGCTGTCACTCTGTAAAGAGTTCCTGTTGAATTTGCAGCAAAGGTTCAGATGTCTGTTCCTGCTCAGCAAAAGTCAGTTTCCTTCTTTTTCTCAATTGAAATGTCTTTTTTTAGTATGAGCTGACATCTTTCAAGGCTATCAAACTCAAAACCCTTATAAACCTTTGTTGCAACACATTTACACTGAAGCTGCCTTCAAAATAAAAGCAACAAAACCTGTATTGTCATTTCCAGTAAAATCACTAGTTTATCAAATAGAGTTTGTTAGTTGAAATGTGAAAAACAGCAGCTGATGCATGAAATGTGCTTCTTTGTATTTGAATCCTAATTTTCCATCTACCTCACGTGGGCTGGTCAGGTGGGCGTGGCCATATTGTTCCCACTTCTTTCATAGAGGATCTGATCTGTGGAATTTTCCCTCTAAAATATAAAGGGCCATGAGACGCTTGTGTAAATAAAATTCATTAAAAAACAGTCGAAGAGCAAACTTTTGTTCCCATCATAGATGATTTTAACAATAATCTAAAAGGCCGTATGTTTAAAACACAAGTGAGACCAAAAATAAGGATTTCCATGTACTTTGGGAGCAGGGAAAGTTGTGCCAGAAATCCCTGTGTGCACTTGATATGAATACAATCCATCTTTTAAAAAACCTGCAAACTAGATGATATTAAACCCATGCTCAGATAAAATGACATTCTCTCTCAAAGACACCAACGTTTAATCTGTTAATTAATGCCTGAGATTCAAAGAGTGTTGATAATTGTTTACAATCTGAACTGTTAGTTGGATTTTTCTTTAGCAGGCAGAACTGAAGAGTAAACCTCTCCACTGTGTCTTCCCCGAACTGATTAAACCACCAGATTATATTTTACACAGCACTCTTTCTCCCATACAGTGTGATAAAGAGACTATAGCATGGCGCAGCAGCATAAACACACTCGCTCTCGGGCATCCTTTATGAGGGTATAACTGTAACTGTATTCTTGTTTTCCCATCTCGACCATTATGGTAAATGTTTACCTCTGTACTTTCCCCTGAGGCAGCTTAGATTTCCCAGGTCTGGTGTCGTGAGGCTCGGAGCCCCGGCTGGGCCGAGGCGCGTGCTGCCTGTGCATCTGTCTGTTTGTGTTTTTGTTAAACATTTAGCTCTCAGATTGAGCAAAGATAATCAGTGGCACCCTGCAGTTTCAGTCTAAAGGTTGCATGTTTCACATTTATTAAAGGAATTTTTTAACGGCAGCTGTTTCCAGCTGAACCGTGAATACAAATGTCGGTAAACGCTTGGTTTAATGAGACAGAAAAAAGCAAAGAAGATGCATTACTGGATTCTGATTGGCTTGCAGCACAATCGAAGTGAGAAAGGTTATAGCTGGTGTAAAGGTACTGCAGATAAAAGCAGTGTGGATGAATAGAGGTTCTTTAGATACTCGGCTGTTTTCACATAATGTCATAGTTCTGGACCCGTGTCCAATCAGTTAATTACTCTCCCCAGTGTAAATACTCCCCTGGTTCCTCTACTCAGGTTCCAGTTTTCAACCTCGCAAGCAATTTCTAGTCTTTCCAGGCTTTTTTAGTCTCAAGGATTGTTTTCTGTCATCGACTGGGCATTTCTCACATTTCTCTCGCTTACTCACAGACCGACCTCGACCAGAAATATTAAACTTACACATACCTGCTGTTTCCACGTGCCGATTTAAAAACATTCGACACATTATTCATCAGTCAGACGATGGCCTTTTCACTCTGATTTTATTAGTGCAAAGATTTTACGGTTTATTTTTTTAAGTCTGTCTGTATTCTGGTGTGAGATATGAAGAAGGCCAAAGGCCACTTTTGGTTGCTTTAAGGCAGGGTTGTCAAACATAAGGCCTGGGGCCCAGAAATGCTTTGGCAAAGACTAATCTGGCCCATTCGATAGCTTTGGAATATGTGGACGGGATAGATTTAGGATTTTTAACTGTGTTTTAATAAGTTTTACAGCTTTTTCTCCTGATTAAGATTTCTTCTGCTGCCGTTCACAAAAGTAATTAAGTAACAGATAAATAATTAAATGACAGAAAAGTTCCTGTCTTGGGTCCAGATTGAAAAAGACAACAACTATTTCCTCTTTTTTATTTACTACAACATTTCTTCAACATGTAGAAAAACTGAAACTTCTTTTTCTTATATTAAGACATCTCATTAATTTTAAATGTGTAGTTTTACTTCTTTACAGTGACAGAAAGGAGCGTTTCACTAGTCTGGCCCATTCAAGATTAAATTGAGCTGCATGTGGCCCATGAAATAAAATGAGTTTTACACCCCTGCTTTAGGGAATTATAAAATTTTCCATTTTTGGTGGGAAATTTTAAGCGACTCAGCTGGTCTAATAACATAATAGATGTATAAAATATGAAAATAACAGTCATTATAACAGTCATTTCATTGTTCTGTTCATAATAATCAGTGAAATAGATTTTTTAAAATCTAGAACGTTAATGCGATGAATAAAAACTCGAGTGTGGTCTCTTCTGATACGGCTGCTTGGCGATCCACACATGAGATTATGTCTTTAAACATGCTGATTAGCCATAAGTATCAAACCACTCACAGGGCAGGTGAATAACATTGATTACCTGATTACAGTGTAATAGGAACCCAACCTGTCAGCCTCAGCTACCCCCTCTCATTTCTGCAGTGTATCATAGTTATTAGGAGTTCAATAAATCCCAGCTCTGTTTACATATTTCCAAACCTTTTTAGAAGCATAACTACAGCAAAGTGGTGCATTGCTGTGTAACTGTTTGGTCAAAACTGCATGTTAGTCAATTACAAACATGAAACTTTAATATTTATAAGCTTGTTTTTGTATTATTATCCCACTGGGCTCGAGTCTCTGTGTTGCAGACATGTCCTGATCTCTTTCAGAGCTTGTCATCGCACTAAGAACTTTATAAACCTGCATCTTAACAGGGGAACTGATTGATTATCCTTCATACAGCTCGTTTGCTGTTTAACCATCTGCAGGATCATCTCACAGGTATGATTCAGACTGAACTCTGATACTAATGGTGTGTTTTTTTCTGTATCTCTCCCTCTCTTCCTTCTATGTCACCCCAGGAGCTTGTATCTATGAAGGAGCGCTGCATGCGGTAGGTACACCAACTTCTTTTGTACTCTCCTACCTCTTGCCTAGCACCGCTTTAAATCTCCGTCCCTACTGTTCACAGAATCTGTTGTGTTTATATGGCTTAATGGGTCTTAGCTCGTGCATTATTCACTGGAGACTTGAGCAGGTTGGTGTGACTGACGTTTGAAGCTCTTACCTGTGTGTGTGTGTGTATTGAGGATAGGCGGTACGAGGTATTATCGGTAGGAGTTGCTGCGCATCTTCTGTTGTTTGAGAAGTAGCTAAGAAGATGTGTCTCATCAATAATGCATAGAAGATCCCGGCTTTGTGTTTGATAATGGCGATGAAAGAGCGCGATGCAGGGTCACTGGCAAAGATGAGCTGCTGTCTCCTGCTGTGCTGCCAATTGAAGGTTAGGCTGTTCTAAAAAAAGTTTAAAAGAAGTTTATGATGAGCTTTGCTCCTGTGGTTCTGCTGGGTATTGGCTAACATCCAGCGCTTCGCTCTGAGGTGTGCTTCTGCTTTATATTCTTTAAACCCGGCTGCTGGTTACTCATATCTTTGCTTAGAGTTATTTTAATGTTTAAAGTTGTCGTGTTTGGCTAGAGGCATTCGA